GATGCTTCCAGGCTTGGCAGCGGCGCTGGGATCGTTGTGTTCACTCCCAGGGGAACTACTTCGAGGGTGATGGATGAATTTAATACCTGAGATAAGTGTACGGGTTTTTTTATACGCGCAGTCTGTAAACTTTCCGATCGCACCTCGTAACATATTTGAAGATAAACTTCAGGATCGGGCTGGGTGGCCACAGTCCGAGCGGATTGAAATTCTAATACCGAATAGAACTCGTAAAAATCTCGTTTCGATCGAACTTGCATAACGAAGTAAATTCCATTTATAAACGAAAACTTGGTCACCGAACCGTCTGTCAGGATGTTTGGGAGGATGCATTCAGTGGCAATGCAAGTTTAGCAACGCAATGTCCATCACTAACGAACGAGTCACCTACTGGAACCGTTCCGGACTTTGACGTAGCAAACAAGACGAGAAGGAAATCATTGACCTAAATTAATGATATTCTGCATTTGACTGGGAAATTTAATACGTTCTTCTAGAGTGCATCTTTCTTATGGAGATATTTTTGCAAACATTCTCAGGAATTTCGGAATTCATATGTTGATTCATAATTAATTGGTACAGACTTTGTTCCTCTAGTCGCCTACGACTTAAAATCCCTTATTATTATTTTTAATCCTACCCTACTAAAAACGTATATTTTACAAAGCAGTGTAATAGCTTCCTTAAACTTCCGAAGGTAATCTGAAAAAAATCTCTTCTCGAAGCAGTTTAATTAAACAGTTTGACAGACGAAAAACTTCACAGCCTTCTCACAATTTACAAATCCCAGATGCAAGAATGTTTATTCTTATGTTTATCGTTGGTGTTCGAGAAAAAGGGCTTAACTCAATACAAATTATAAGAATTAAACTCGTCTATTCGATCACAGTTACTTATATGATTGTAACGAGGCTTGTGTAAACCAAATAACAGAACGTTTGCGTTTTAATCTGTAAAAGATAAACATTCTGAAACTGTCAATTCTAACTCCGACACTGGATATTTTTTATGGCGATGGCTTTATTAACAATTACTATGAGAAAATGTATTTAATTAAAACGTTAAGACATTAATTTTACTCTATCCTTTGTAGTTGTAATACCTGTAACTTCTAAGAGATGGCAGGACATGCTTTTTTCTCTGATCTCTTTCGTCACACCACAAAACCCAACAAGAATGGCCTGTGTTTCTAAGCAACGTATTTCATTCATGAGATGGAAAGGGTTAATCAGTTCCACAGTCATTTTATGGACTGATACTCTTTAAATACATACCCCTGAGGACGTCAGCGGGGATCAGACGTCGGAAGGTCTTGGGTCTCTCAGAGGCGGCTGCATCCTTTTTGTCTTCTGCAGCGGACACAACCACGGCCAAGACAACCACAGACAAACACAGGAAGAACTTCATGGTCTGCGAAAAAACCATCAGTAGTCGTATAAACACTGTTCCACAGGATGCCTACCGCGCCTGGGCACCGAGCCATACACACGGCATTACCAGCAGTGCCTCTGGCGGACAGGAAACGGTTTACATTTTTCGTTTGATAGACTTTAACGATCAGTATAATGGGATCGGCTTTCAAATATGAATCGAATGGTTAGCTTATCGTTTTTGACTGTTCACGAAAATGAGGTTTGACGATTTGGTATGCCTGACACACAATTACAAAGGTACGTTAATCACAGACCTACAGACATAAGACAGAATTTGAGATTTAAGTTGAGGTGGATGATCTCACACGCTTCGCTCTGCGTCCAACTGTGCTTCTAACGACAGTGCAGTCTCCGAAAACACTTTTTAGACGTTTATGAATATTACCCACTGATTTTTCCTCAGCTCGAACTCCATGACAGCTCCCTGTAACGCTCTTCAATATCAGACGCCATTTTGAAAACTTGTTACACCCATGCCATCTGGCGAAACTTGTTAGAACTTCATTTTCAAAGGCGAGAAAGATCAAAATTTATGTATACCGAATTTAAGCTCTTTTAGATAATTTTTGGCCAAGATAAAAAATGTGGGGCAAAACATTTTTGAGTGACCCTCGTGGAATCACCTTAAGTTCAGGCGAGGGATATATATATATACATATATATATATATATATATATAATGATTATCTCCTAAAGAACATTCTCCGAGCATACGATATCCTTCAACTGTATTTAATAATCTCAAACAAGTGTTCTTCGCCATCTCGTCTACTTTCAGAAAGTGTTACCTCACTTTTGCAGAGTCTGCATTACCAGTGCTCTAGATTCAAGAGGCTAAACAACTTTCATTACGCCTTGTGACAGTGGAACAAGATCCTAATACCAGCTCCCATACTTTGTAGTTACTGAAGGGGAGATGATTAAAATTTTAAAGCCTAGTGGTAACTTTAAGTACCAACCAGTAACTCATAATTGTGTACTTATGACTTTGCATCATTCGAAATGTAAACAGGGATTACTTTCCGAAAGAACATTTAGCATTAGATCTTACAACGGTGACGCGCTGTGTTTTCTTCGCGGTACGGTCTGAATTCTTAAATGTTGTTTAGAAAAACTTCTGCTTCAGAAGCGTTCGATTGAAGCAGTGATATTCACCGTGGACGAAAAGTCACAATCAAAATAAAACAAATTTAATTTTCAAGCTTGGATTTGAACTGTTGTCACATATGTGCGTGTACAGTTGTGACAACTTTATAAGCAATACTCGATCGAAATTATAAACATTTATTGTTATCCCCTCTGGAATTTTACCATATTGATTGATTTAACTCCATTACTCTGTTTCCAAGCCCTCATATGTGACAGCGAGTTTCGTCACGTAGAGCCTGACATTAAACTCTCTTTATTCTAACAGTTTGTTGTTATTTTTATTTAAAGTTATTGACAAAAGCTGAGATCGAACCCGGGTCCTCTTGCATACTGAAGTAGTACGGTAATCAGCATAAACGTTCAAGTTCAACCTCGGCACTAATGTTAAATATAATAAATATGTCTGTCAGTACGTTCTAATGCAACCAATCACCTGAAGTAGGAAGTACAGTCAACTTTCGAAACGTCGTATATAACATAGTTTGCATCAGAGAATGGACAGCGATAAAAATACCTATAAGCAAACCTTTGGAGACTCACGGTGTATCATTTTATTTAACACAGTTACGCACACTGCGGACAGGAACGGGAAACCTGATTTTGTTTTGTTTCTACAGCCAAATCAGGCAGCAGCAGTGGCAGAGCTACCAAAGCGCCGCTCATTGTGTTTATTGGGAACTAGTTAATATTGTGTTCTGTTTCCATGTTGTTCAACGAACAATCAGATCTGCAATAGATGACGACGAAAAGCTTGTCAATTTATCTGAGCTTTATGGTACTTGAAACATAAGAACTTGCAAAAAATGATGGATAGAAAGAACTTCAGAAGAGGAACGCACAAGTTCGTAATGTTATCGCGTTTGTTGAAGAAACTGCTCAATTTTCATCGCTTCGTCGCTTATAATGTGACCACCTACGCCACACGACCCACTTCGGTCGCTGTCTACTTCGTCAGTACACGGATCCAGTCAGACCGAAACCCTAGAAAGTGAGATCCCAACGACACAGAATTGTAGCCCGTTGGCACTTGTCCGAACACACTGAAAACGAAAAGGAGAAAAGTGCAATAGGCCTACGCTCCTTTATAGTGTTGGTATGCAAGTGAAAGGGTCGTTTGAATGTGAACTCGGCTGACGGAAGACTTCAGAGAACAAATAAAATAGAACGAAAGTATTGCAAGTTTCATCCGCTTATTCACGTAGCACTTCAGACGTAACGACTTGACTGCCCTGGTTATTTCTGCCAACACCAAAATTTTAATCGATAGTTGTCGATGGTTTACTAAATAGTACTTTCGCTGGTCTCTAGATGTCACCGTCATACAATTTACGGAATCTTTGATACGAACAGATGTCGCGCAAAGCGATCCACTTCATTCTGTTAAAAAGTAAAATTAACTGCAGTGATCGTGACCTGGAAAGATGAGAGTGTTTGAGCATGTTTACGGACGTGAATCGGTTAAGAAAATAAACAGCTTTGCCGGATGTTAGTAGCGAGCTGCAACTATACGTACAGATTCTTCTCACGAAATTTCATATTGGAGAGTTTTACTGAAATCTGTTGACATTTCAATTTTGGTTATGATCAGACAACAATAATGAACAGTTTACATGCGTTTCTGCGCGTGTCTCGATATTTATCGAAGCGAAACCTGTTTTCAACAGAAGACAAAGATCGAACGCAAACACTTTCTGTTCAATGCATTGTTTTCATAAGAAGTGTACAGCGGTTTTAGAGATGACCAAAGGGATTTTATGCTGTGTCATATCGTAAATCGAAAACCGTTTTGCTGTTTAACGCTAAAAAGAGTATAACAATCATCTTCCATGAGTTGCAAATCTATACTCAAAAGGTAAGAGCGAATAAGCTTTCGCTATGCACATTTTCCATAACATTTCTTTTTATAATTCTAGGAATTAACCGCTTTTGGAGTCGACCTTACAGAAGACAATCAAGCGACGAACGAATACCTAATCCCTCTAGTGGCAGAGGCGACATCATACACAGTAGCGCCGCTCATTGTCTTTATTTTGAACTAGTTATTATTGTGTTTTGTTTTTGTCTTGTTCATAGAATAACCGGATCTACAACTGTTGATTAGTGACAACTATATATAGAAAACATCTATTTTAACGATCATATCTCGGAATGTTGCTGACAGTCTATATATACGTTCCAGTATAGATCTCAGAATAAACAGCGAGTATTTTCCTACATATAATTAATACACTAACATTTGTATCGCTTATTTGGTATGTATCTTGGAGGTTAGAACAGTGGTTTTAAATTTTCCCCTTTAAAGAGATAGATCTCCGATGATGTTACACTAAATCATACGTTTGTTAAAGTAGCCGTGTTTTGGGTTTTAGCAGCCAGGCCTATTACTTTTATTTTGTTTAGTATCATTTTTATCATAATTTATATATCGTTATTTTATAGTCATTATTTTTATTTTATTTGTTATTTGTTTTTTGCTGTGTCTGTAATTTACCACTTGGTTGTTAATTCAGCACACTAAAATAACGAATTAAATTATTATTAAATTTAATTGTGTGTGCAATACAATAGCATTCTCTCCTGTAAAAGGTCGCACAGTTAATTAGCACATAACAACGTACTTTGTTTCATTTTATCTCATTTTTTGGTTCACAGTCAATTAATACGCTGGCAGTATCCTACATTTCCAACTATTTTCTCTCGACATTAAAGAAACCAACCAACCAGATAAATAAAACTTAAAAGACTTTATTAAGTAGGATTTGAAGATCTCACGGCGGTGAGCATGACGATGGCCGCTTTCTGAGTTGCAGAAACGTGTATCCCGGTAGAATTTAATAGACGTCTCAGTACTCATCGCTCTGACAAAGGCAACAAGTACTTCTGAAACGTCGGTAAACGTCTACCAGACTACACGCAGCAACAACCCAGAAGCTGCCTTATAGATTGTTTAAAAGGTCCTTTAAGTTCGTACGCAGAAGATTGGTCTACATCGATTAAACTATTTAAACCATAGTGGTATCACATATGTACCACCTGATACAAAATTAAACATCTCTGTATTTTGATCACAGAGTGTATTTATGTTATTCGTATAATTCTCAGAATCAATAGCGATCATTTCTCTATAACATTAAATGTTTGATCTTTGTAAAGGAGACTTCATCTGTTTTATTTTTGTTTAAGGTAGGAACTTTATTTTAAAATTTTCCTTAGAAGATCTACTTGCTTCAAAGGGTTAGAAAAGTAATGCAATGCATTGTTATTAATTCTTTTTATGTGGAATGCTACATTCAAAGACAAAGTTTAAATATATATTCATATTCCTCATTTCTGAGAGGTAAATGTTACAGGTGATAATAATAAATTTAAATGTTTGACAACAGCAGACAAGTCGTTTACAGGAAAGCACTGACAAGACGACACGATAAATTACGAATACAGTACGGTGCAAAAAACATGTATAATAGTTGGACAAAGGAAGATTATAAACAGTCACTGGAAACAGACTGAGGGACTGTTCTTGAATTAATGGTACATATTAAACCTTTAAAGCCTGATGACAGCTATATGTCCCACCTGATTTAACGATCAATGAGTCTTAATTTTTTTATTTATGTTTTACGTATGATTCTCACTGTAAACAGGGATTATTTTTAACCGAATTTTCAAATCGACCTTTTAAATTGTAAGTGTTGTGTTTTCATTGCGGTACGGACTAATTTCTTAAATATTACTTAAACGAGCTTCGACTTTAAATGGTTAAAATAAAGTAATATCTGTTTATGTACGTAGGTATCGATAGAGTAACACGATTCAGAACGAAAAGTGG